TAGTATGCCAGCTTCTCTAAAAGCATCACACATATCCTACAAAGTTTACCATACCCACTTTTAGTCTCATTATAGAAATTGGTTTGTAGACCCAAGAGATAGATATTATCTCAGCTGAGACGAAAATTTGAATTAGATATTCAAAAGAATAATATATATGAAGAAAACTGCAAAAATATCTTCAGCATTTGAAATCTTGCTTTCCAGCATGTCGTCAATTTGAACTCTTATGAAAATGAACTCTTATGAAAATTAAAAAAAAATTAATGAAGTCTTGATTGAGGCCTGGGAACTGGTTTAACTTTTTAAGATGATTAAAACCTGAGCTTATCTTGTTTATCATAGGACCCTTTCAAGCCTACACCTTTTCCATGCAGTTAGTGTATTGTAACTAGATGCCTTTTCTTTAAATGATGTCAACTTTTCACAGACATCCATGCCCACAACTCTGGAACCTCTGAATATGTTCTATTACATGGAAAAAAGAACTTCTAATATGTAGTTCAGGTTTGAACCTTAAAAGATTATCTGGGTGGGGCCAATCTAATCACATGAGTCCTTACAATCAGAGAACTTTCCCCACTGAAGTCAGACATGTGGCAGAAGTGTAGGTCAGAGAGATTAAAATGTGAGAAGGACTTGGACTGACATTGTTGACTCAAAGATGGAGGGGGCCAGAGCCCCTCCTACAACCATGTTGGGAAGGAAAAATTATCCTTTACCTTAATGTATCCTTGTCCTTAATAGTGATTCACTAATAATCAAATTAATGAGACAGGCTAGCAGGAGAAAATAAAGTTTAATAACATGCAGACCTCCTGTATACATGGGAGAGACCTAGGATCACTGAGTTAATTCACCAAAATGGTGGAGGCCATCCCTTGTAATACCATCATTAGCCAAAGACAAAGATGTTGGCCATGGAGAGTCAATTATGGGAGGTCACCAGAAAAAACACAGTGAAGGTTGTCGTTCAGGTTTCAGTCCTGAGCCTTCTCCACTGAGAGTGAAGATAGGCCTGGTACAGTGAGACAAAATCCTTAAAGACCAGAGATGTCCCTTACACTTATTTATGCATTCACTGGTTGATTCTTGTATGTGCCCTGACTGGGAATAGAACCCCCTACACTTGTTGTATCAGAATAATACTCTAACCAACTGAGCTACTTGGTCAGCTAGGGTTCTTGAGTCTTTTTATTAAAGCAGGTGATCTAGTAAGTAAGTAACATGTTTCTCTGAGTTAAGTGAGCCGCTCTAGCAAATTAATAGAAAGTAACTGGTGAGAAGAGAAAAAATTGTGGGATGTTATAAGTTAAAACTCCAGCACCATAGAGTGAAAGAGACAAAACAGTTAGCCTGTTAATTGCTATATGAAAAAAGACTGCTCGCATTCTTGGGTATCTGTTAGAATTTAGAATTGATTTCCAGGAAGCTATCTCTGTGATCATCCAAGAGAGGATTAATTTCGGGTCGCCATTGAATCCCAGGAGCCCCTGCTTCTTATTGCACATCAACTTTATGACTCTGTTGTGCTCATCCCAGAACTAGCCCTTCCCCCACTTCCTTTATCTAAAGCTAATGTAAAATGTTTCAGAACGACCTACAGCTGTCTCCATTTTTGATGTATAAAAACACTGGCGAAGCTCCTGGACATTGGCTATGTTATCTTTTCTACCTACCCATGCAGTGGTTTAGAGTCCATGCCCCATGACCAGTCTTCTTTTTCTGCTAGAAATGGCCTAATAAACCCTTTCTTTTAAAAAACTCAGCTGTGAAAATTAAAAGTTTTTAAAAACTATTTTTTTATTGATTTTTAGAGAGAGAGGAAGGAGAGGGAGAGAAACATTGATGTGAGAAGGAAACATCAATAGGTTGACTGCCTCCTACACGTCTCCTATCAGGGATCGAGCCTAAAACTGAGCCCAAAATTGGGGCATGTGCCCTGTCTGGGAATTGAACCAGCAACCTTTTTTTTTGGGATGACACCCAACCAACTGAGCAATACCAGCCAGGGTGGAAGTTAAAAGTTTGTTGTTTAACCCTGGAACCTAGTCAATCAATCAGAGGCACAGGTAACAACCTGGAAGTTATCAAGGAAGAGATCATTGGAACCTCTAATCTATAGTAGTTGGTTAGAAGTACAGTTAACAGTCTGGGCTTTCGGCTGGGTCTGAAGTAAAGAGTGGTGGTGGTGTAGGGCTGAATCCTTAACCTGTGGAATCTGATGCAAAATTCAGGTAGGTAGTCTCAGAATTGTGTTGAATTGAGCCCAATTCTTGGCTATACTGCTGGTGTCTGAGAATTGCTTGGTGTTTGTGGGAAGCACACCCGCTGCCACACACACACACACACACACACACACACACACACACACGAAATGTATCCAGGAACCCAAAAGAACTGTCATTCATCCCTGGACTCTTATCTACAGATTCTTCTATGTGAGACAAAAATAATCTACTTTGATTAAGCCATTTTTATTTTGAGCTTTTCTGTTGATGTCATATCATTATAATTAGTATGGTAATACAGAGTCTCCCTTTGCCGAGAAATGAAAGATAAAGTTTGAGCAGTGAGCAGTTATCTTTTGGACTCTTGACTAATTCATTATCTTGTAACACACTATTGGGCTTTCTTTCTAGTTGTAATGTGTGACCAGGCTGTGCCAATCAGTCTCTTTCATTCTTGGTACAGTTCCAACCTTTTTCTGGAATTACTCATAGCTCTCTATATCCACCCCTCCCTTATACAGATAAAGAAAATGTGCCTTATAAATAGTTAAAATATATATTGCATTTATACTCTTCTATTTATCAAAACAAACTAAAAATACCCTATTATATTCATTCGTCACTTCATAGTGACTTTTTCCATTAGGAATATCACTATGGAAAGTCATAGATTTTAAAAAATTCACCTTGTTATAATTAACTATGTTATTTTTATTTTGATTATCAAGTTGTCACAGAATGCCAGGTGAGTTTTTAAAAATTGGTTCCTTTGCCTTCTCAGCTTTACTCTATACATCCTTGCTTCAACAACATGTTTCAGGCCTGCCTATAGTTATCTGAGATATGCAGCTATTCTCCAAGTAATCCTGCATCCTTTTAAAGGTAAATAATATTTGAGGCAAAGATCCAGGTGCTAAGAATGCATATCAGATTCCCCCCCACCCTAATGTTTCTATGCTACCTTAGTAATACAATTAGAAAAAATTATTTCTTTGAAAACCACAAATTCACATTGGTATTTCCTATTTAACTCAAGCATTACTAAATCTTTTTTTGTTTACTATAACATACAGTTTTAATTTTTTTTAATATATTTTATTGATATTGAACAGAGAGGAAGGGAGAGAGAAATAGAGAGAAACATCGATGAGAGAGAGTCATCGATCAGCTGCCTCTTGCACACCCCCTACTGGGGATATGCCCGCAACCAAGGTACATGCCCTTGACCGGAATCGAACCCGGGACCCTTCAGTCCCCAAGCCGACACTCTATCCATTGAGCCAAACCGGTCTCGGCCAGTTTTAATTTTTTTTTAAAGAATATGTTTTATTGATTTGAGAGGGGGTGGGGAAGGAGAGGATGAGAGAAACATTGATGAGAGAGAAACATCAATTGGCTGCCTCCTGCAAGTCCCCCACCAAGGACCAAGCCCACAACTCTGGCATGTGCCATGACTGGAAATAGAACAGGCAACTTCTTGGTGCATGGGCTGATGCTCAATCAACTGAGCCAGGGCACAGTTTTATACAACATACCCGCTTGTACCCTGGAATCTCTTATCCAAACTGTAATGGCATCTTTTATCTTCAGTGATCTTACAGTGTCTCATCAACTGTCATTCTCTAGTTACTTTATTGATAGAGTCACCCATGCTGGGCCAATTGGACAGCCAGGTAAGAGAGTGTATTATAATGGCAGGAGAGTGGTTGAAGGAATGCATCATCGAAACCAAGGAAACAGGAAGTTTAAAATGGAGGCCAAGAGAGCACAGATCAGGGGAAAGAAGAGAGGTTGTGGGATAGTCCAGAACAAGTTTGGTGAAGGTAATTGATAGAGCTGGGAGGAAGGAGGTGGTGGCCAGAACATGAAGTGATTGAACTGCAGACTACAAAGGTTGAACACTTTTAAAAGTTTGCTATGGTCATTGATGTGTTCCATGCCTGGAGATCTACACTTGCCCACAGGTGACCTTCTACCCTCACCAACAGCTGCCCAAGGAAGCACTGTCTACCTGCTCTCAGCCAGAGCAAACACAAACACACACACACCCCATGACTCAGGTGGGGAGGCGAGGGCCAGAGTCCATTTGGAACCTGTACAGATGAACACCAGGGTTCACTGTCTGCTGGCTGCCCCAGTGTGCATGAAAAATGTGTACCTTGTTCAGGTTGATCATATGTCCCATTCCTGTCCTACCAGCCACAGTGTCTGGGCTCCTCAGTGGCCCTCCCCACAATTATACTGGTGGCAGCCTCCTGCCCTAGTCCATATGGTACTGGCTCAGCTCCTGACTGTGTTGGCAGAAATCCGTGATGCTGGCACTCCTCACAGGAAGGAGCCTGTAGGGTATGATGAGGCTGGTCCATCTGGGCCCTTGTGGGGGCCTGTCAGGCTCACCTGTGCCACCTGTTTCCAAGTAGCACTGAGCTAGAAGCTGGGGGTGGGGTAGGGGAAGGAGCAGCAAAGTCTGCAAAGTATCGCAGGACTCTCTACCTGCCAAATCCTGCCCTGATCCTAAGGTTGCAGACAGAGAAATGCAGGGAGAGGTTGTGAGGGCATGTGAAAAGGGGAGGGAGACTAGAGGGGCCGGCCCCTAGATAAAGCTCTACTCATCACCTTGGGTGTTTGGCACAAGGTCCCATGCAAGAAGGTGGAATTAGGCAGCCAGAGGGAGCTTTTCTCCTACCCCAAAGATGTTGCTTCTGGGGCAGGGGAGGGCAGAGGACAGAGGTCAGGGGCTAGATTCCCATTCCTGAAAGGCTTGAGACCTCAGAGTGGGAAGATGAGGAAGCCAGAGAAGCTTGAATATTTCCAGCCACCCAGCAGGTTCCCCCGACGAAGGCGCAGAGACACCCGGTCCCCGGGGTCCAGGGGCAGTAGCACAGAGCTGGTGGCTGCCTCCCGGGTCACATCAGGGTCATTGGCAAAGGCTGAGATGACAGGCCATGTGTTCAGCATCAGGCTCACCTGGGAAGGGAGACCAGTTAGCGTCTCTACCCAGCCCTTGTCCTAGGACCTCACTTTTCTGAGAGCTACTCCTCTTCTCCCAGCCCCAGAGGGACACTCTGGAACCCGGGACTCTGAGGCTCAGTGCAATCTCCTGGGAGAGCTGAGGGGTCGCCAGTGTCACACTCCGCAGTTCCCCCTCTCTCTGCTAGGCAGGCCCTTTCCTCCCTTGCTCCTGTTTCCCTCCCCCCCCCCCCAATGGAGGGTCAGCCCAGGGGTCAGCCGGGCTCCACTTATTCCTCCCCCGACCCAAGTCTGGACAATGACAGGGCCCATGCTCAGGTCACCTGGACAGTTTGGCGGTTGTACACCTTCACCACGTGGAACCTGAAGCTGTAGACACCTCGGACAGGGGCCACGAAGGAACCGGAGGTGCGATCAAAGCCGCCGCCTTCATTCACCAAGACCTGGGGGAAGCAGACCCTGCTGAGTGGGCTCAGGGAAACCACTGGGCAGAGGGACGGGGCAGTGAATAAGGAAAGTAAGGGGTTGTAAGTAGCTGCCCACAGGAGAAATGCACAGATTAACAAAATATAGTGAGAAAGGGCAAGGAAGTATAGGGGTAAGAGTGAAGGGAAAGGAGATGGGCAGCAGGGTAGAAGGGCAATGGGCCATAGCAGGGCTGTCTTTTTAACAGCAGAGTGGGCTTGTATTGATTGCAGGTCCTTGCAGGGTAGGGGGTTACCTGGTCAAAATAGATGGCCCCACTGGTGCCGTTGCCCGTCTCCCCTGCTGGCTCGTGATGGTGGCTTCGAACTGCAGCAAATGCCACTCTTCCGGGGGGCGCTTCTCCCAGGGCTGCTCCTCCAGGCCCCCCTGCAGCAGCCCTGCCGGGCTCACAGACCACCAGGCACTCGCCCTCCAGGAGAACAGGCTCTGACCCTTCCTGGGCCCATCCGGTCCCCAGGGCCAGAAGCATCAGGGCCAGGGGCAACCAGGAGTTGGGTGCAAGAGCTGGTAGCCAGAGTCGCTTTGCTCCCAGCATGGCTGAGTGGCTCTGACCCACAAGTCCTGCCTTCTTGCTACTCCTTTTCGTTTCCACCCACCTCCAGACCCTCAACAGCCCTCACCCTACTCCTTAGCCCTCTCTCTGCATCTCACGGTCGGTCACCTGGTCTCAGCATCTCCCTCTCCATAGCACTCCGTGCCCCACAACTCTGTCCTGCCTCTCACCCCTGCTGTCGCTGCAGTTCCCTCCTCCTTGGCAGGGCACAAAATGACAGCAGTTGGGCTCTGGGAGGGAGAGGAGAGATGAAGCAGCCAGACAGGACGGCTACAGCCAGAACCCCAGGACAGCCTCTCCAGAGAGCACTGAAGGCTGGAATTGGGACAACAGAGAAATGTGTGTGTGTGTGTGTGTGTGTGTGTGTGTGTGTGTTTGCAAGAGTGTAAGAGACAGATCCTACGGTCCTTCCTCCTCCTCATTCCTCCCCTCTTCAAAACCCCTCACAGCACTCTCAGAGGAGCCTTTTTCATTGTTAGAAAGGAAAGCCCTTGTCTTTTCCCACAATTGTTTTGGTGGGAAAGCCCTTGGGCCAACAGTGTCACTCGCCAGTCATTTCTCCTCCTTGGCCTTCCAATAGCTTCACCTGGAGGGCCTGAATTCGTCCCTTTAGCACTCTCTTCCCCTCTGACTCAGTGAGTGGTTCCTCTTTCCTGAGAACAGCAGGAACCTAGAGGGACCAGGGGAGGCTGTGGGGAGACCTAGAGAACTGCGGGCGAGTGGGCGGGGCTGAGGCCGGGAGCGGGGCGGAGCCTGGGGGCGGGGGCGGGCGCTGAGGGGCCCGGCTGACTCCTCCCCCGGCCAGGAAGTGACTCAAAAAAAAAAAAAGGAAAAAAAACACCCCACAAAAAAACACTCTTCGAGATGTGAAGAGAGGTCCCAGTTGGGTGAGAAATCCGGGAAGGCCCGCCCAGATTGGAGCCCCCCGCCTTTCTCCCCGGGGCTGGGGCAGGGGCTGGGCCGGGCCGGGGCCCGGGGCGCGGGCGAAGTTGGGGCCACGGGCTCCGGAGGCGCCGGCGGGAGCGGACGCGGCGGGCGGGCGCGGCGGGTAGGGGTGCCCGGGCCGCGGCTCGGAGGCCTCGGTGCGGAGCGCGGTCGGTCGGTCGGTCGGGGGGGGGGGGGGACGGCGGCCGCGGGGGGAGAGGCTGTGGGAGGGGCTCGCCTCGGCCCCGGGGCCCCGGGTGGGGTGCGTGGCGCAATCGGGGGGTGGTTGCGGGCGGCTGGGCGAGGGGTGGGGTGGGGTGAGCGTGGAAATGGAAGACGAGGGACGCCAGGGGACAGCCCGGGTCAAGCCCTGGGGAGGACCCATGTTCAGAGGACACCTTGGGCCCAGGGATTGCAGAGTCCCCGGAAAGGGGGACTCCTTTCTTCACCGTCCGCTCCTCTGGCCCCCGCCTCCCCCGGCCCTGCCCCCCGGCCCTGCCCCGGGCCGTGGCCACCCTTGTACAAAGGCCAGACAGACGCCCATCCCAGAGAGGCAGCCTTGTCTGTCTGTCCATGACGTCCTCCTCGGAGAGAAGGCCCGTGCTCCTTTAGCCTGACGCTCTCTGCTAACTCCAAGATGGCCCGAGGTCTCCCGGGTTGTTTACTCTGTGTGTAACTAGGTGCGACCTGTTGGTGGCTGGACGCAGCCCTGGAGACCTAAGATTTGGGCCGAGGGGCGGGGGCGGGCCCTGAGCTGCTTTTCCCACTTCCAGGTCTGGGCCGCCGAGCAGCCATGCCTACCTGGGGGGCTGGCTCCGCGACCCCCGACCGCTTCGCCGTGTCCGCGGAGGCCGAGGACAAGGTGTGGGAGCAACAGCCCCACGTGGAGCGCATCTTCCGCGTGAGGATGAGCGTCCTCCGGAAGGACTGCCCCGAGACCCCTCACATCTGGCTGCAGCTGGAGGGCCCCAAGGAGAACGTCAGCAGAGCCAAGGTGAACGCTCCTCCCTGACCCAGTTGGGGGACATTCACCCCCTCCCCCCCTCAGAGGCTGGGAATGGTCTCGTCTCTGGCAACCTCAGTGACCCTGAACTGTGAGAGGCTTCCCAACTTTGTATTTGTTTGGAGTTTTGATTTCATTTCTGATATGATGACCTAACTTCTGCCAAGGCTTGGAGACAAGCGATTTGATTCCAATCAGCGTGTGTTCTCTGGGACAGCAGAGAAAATCCGGTTGGGCAAGCAGGCCCCACCAAGGAATTCACTGTAGGAGGCCAGGCCTGGGTTCCAGTATGGCTCTACTATCTACCCGCTCCGTGACCTGAGTCTCTGTTTCTAAATCTATAAACTGTGAATAATGGCAGTACCCAGTTCATTGGGCTTATCATGAGTGAAATAAAGCATGAGTTCAGTAAAGTTAGCAATGGCCATCATTATGATAGATATAGACAACACACATACACACTTAAATAGAGAGACAGTCATGTAACTAATTAGTTACAATTATATCTTCAAGCCAGTCAAGTTCTAAATGGAAATACTAGTGGTAGCTGTCAGCTGGAAAGAGAGGAAGTGAGATTCTTGACCCCTTTGAACGTTTACCTTTGTCAGGATCTGTGGGGCATCATTGCTCTGCCAGGTATCCTGGAGCTTAGGGGAGAGCAGTGAGCCTGAAGCGGCTACTGGGCCATGTAGGATTCCAGCGGTCTCCTTCCCCAACCCTTTTCTTCTTTCCCTAGGAATACCTGAAGGGTCTCTGTAGCCCAGAGCTGCAGGATGAAATCCACTACCCACCCAAACTGCACTGCATCTTCCTGGGGGCTCAGGGCTTCTTCCATGATTGCCTGGTCTGGAGCACATCAGCCCACCTGGTGCCTGGGGCGCCCGGGTCACTGATGGTCAGTGGCCTTACGGAGGCCTTCGTCATGGCTCAGAGCCGAGTGGAGGAGCTGGTGGAGCGACTGAGCTGGGACTATCGGCCAGGGCTGTCTCCTGGAGCCTCACAGTGTGCCGGAGTGCTGAAGGACTTCTGTGCCCTGCTGCAGCCCCAGGGGGATGCCCACAGAGAGGCCCTGCTGCAGCTGCCCCTGGCTGTCCAGGAGGAATTGCTGAGCCTGGTACAGGAGGCATCCAGGGGACAAGGACCCCAAGCACACTTCTCCTGGGATGGGGGGAGCCCGGTCCTGCTTGGTGCTCAGCATCAAGGAGTCAGAGCTCCCCTGAATGAAGGCAGGGCGTCCCTGGACACTGGACCTACAGGGTGTCCAGAGTCAAGGGGAGAGGGACATGCTATAGAGAAGGAGGGAAGGAAGCAGGGTGGCTCGAGGGAGATGGATTTGGGATTGAAGGGGCTGCCTGGGGAAGAGGCCTGGGAGAAGGAAGTGACCTGCAGGTCACAGACAGGGGGCAGGGAGGTAGGGCAGGAAGGCTTCCCAAAGAAGGCGGCCCCGGGGAAGGAGGGGGTGCCTCAGGAAAGAGGAAGGTCTGGTATCCAGGGTGAGTCTCCTGGTGCCCAGGGCTGTCAGAGGGCAGCTCAGCTCCGGGGAGCCTCTCTCCTCCAACGGCTCCACAATGGGGAAGCCTCACCTCCCAGAGTGCCTAGCCCCCCAACTGCACCTGAACCCCCATGGCATTGTGGAGACAGGGGAGACAAGCAACAGGTTGTGGCTCGAGGTCGGGGGTCTCCGTGGAAACGAGGCACCCGGGGGGGCAACTTGGTGACTGGCACACAGCGTTTCCAGGAGGCCCTACAGGACCCTTTTACCCTGTGCCTTGCCAATGTACCTGGCCAGCCGGACCTCCGCCATATTGTCATTGACGGCAGCAATGTGGCCATGGTGTGAGTACCAGGTGGGACTGGGGGTTCTGGGGAGGGGGAGGAGATGGGCAGTTTTCCTGGGGGAAATATGCCAAGGGGAGAGCACTCCAGCCAGGCTGCTAGGCCCTCATCTGGGGCCCCAGAGTGCCGACCCTTCCCACTGCAGGCATGGCCTCCAGCACCACTTCTCCAGCCGGGGCATTGCCATTGCTGTGCAGTATTTCTGGGACCGTGGCCACCGGGACATAACTGTCTTTGTGCCTCAATGGCGCTTCAATAGGGATGCCAGGGTCAGAGGTGAGTTGGGCCTGGTCCTTTGTGTCCTGGGAAAGACCCTGCTTCTACCTTAAAGATAACCGCATTGTGCTCCTATGTTTCTAGAGGGTCACTACCTGCAAAAGCTCTACTCCCTCAGTCTGCTCTCCCTCACTCCTTCCCGAGTCATGGACGGCAAGAGGATCTCTTCCTATGATGACAGGTATTTGCTTCTCTCCTGGCCTCAGGGGCTTGACATTCAAGGAGCCCAGTGGGAGATCAAGGGAGAGTCAGAAGCTCCTGACCCTTTGCTCTGTTTCTAAGCCTGGGTATTGGGTTCATGGCCAGTTAGTGCTTTGTGTGTCTCTATGACTGGGCAGGTAAACCTGTCCCACAGATGAGATGAAATGGATGGTAGACAACTGTGTTAGCTCATTCATCATTCATTTTTCATTCATCAAACTAAACAATGCTTTGTATCTATATAGTGCCGACTGCCTAGAAAATGCTGGCTTAATGGAAAGATGGGAAAGCTTATGACATGTGTAGCTAACAGATATGTTCTTACAGCATAAATTTTCAAACACTTAGAGAAATTCCTCCAACATTCTGGAAAAACCAGAGTAAATGTTCAAAAATAACAAGTTAAATGAAACACAGTCCATGCATACTAACATAAAATAAGACATAAATAAAACATGGCATAATAGAAAGATCATTAGACCTAGAATTGGATAATCTGACTTGGAGCCCCAAGTTGAACTAGTCATTGACTCTGACTGTGGACCAATTAACCTCTTGTCTCAGGGTCTTCTCCCATTCATTCATGCTCTTTGTGACTGTCAAAAGATAAGTTATGTGCTTTTCTCACTCAAGGTGCTAGGCAAGAATACAGTGATATTCCTAGTTCATGAACACAATCAAGTGTGGCAGAAGGTCTTATCTCTACAGTACCGAAATGGAGCAGAGGATGAGTGGTTACTCTCTTGGCAAAACCTACCAAGTGGCAAAGGAAAAATGAGAATTGAAAGCTGCCACATGGTTTAAATGAAAAACACAGCCGGAACCAGTTTGGCTCAGTGGATAGAGCATTGGCCTGTGGACTGAAAGGTCTCAGGTTCGATTCCAGTCAAGGGCATGTACCTTGGTTGCAGGCACATCCCCAGCAGGGGGTGTGCAAGAGGCAGCTGATGGATGTTTCTCTCTCATCGATGTTTCTGACTCTATCCCTCTCTCTTCCTCTCTGTTAAAAAAAAAAAAAAAAAAATCAATAAAATATATTAAAAAAAAGAAAAAGAAAAACACAGGACACATTTCATCCTCAGTGTACATAACACCGTGTGGAAAATGGGCAGATTAAAAAAAAGCTAATTAATCCAATTAAGAATGTTTACAACTACAGTTCTTGATTCTCCAGGATTTTCAGTTTTAAATGAAAAAAAAAGAACCAAAAAACAAACAAACAAACAAAAAAAACACACAACTAGTTTCCAAACCATAGTGATTACACATTTTATCTTTTCAAGTACTTAACTTTTTCTTCCTGACAAGTAAATGGTATTCTACAAAAGGGCAACTCACTGTCTCCTGATACTTTTTTTTAATTTCTAGATTTCACAGATTATCTAAGATATGGAACCTTCTTTTCATACCAGCACTGACACAGAACTGAAACTGAAAGTCAAGCCAGTTGTGAATTTTAAAGGCAAATATTTGAACAGTTGTGTAGGTCCTGACAAGCTGACAGCACAGTAGGAATTTGGAGTTTTGCCTAGTTATAGTGACTTAACTGGTGCATAGGATAGGTCATCTGGGTGAATACTGCTGAACAACATGTGATGCAACATGATAATGGTAAATAAGCTTAGTCTGAAAATACCGTTTGTATATTATATGACACCATATACAATGCATGCCATCTCCTTAATTTGTTTCCCAGATAGAAACTCAGAACCAGACGTGTCACACCTTATCCTGATTAGTAGTGCCTCTGAACCACAGTCTTTCAAATACTGACTGTCCACTTACTACCGTTTCCCCGAAAATAAGACAGTGTCTTATATTAATTTTTTCTCCCAAAGTTGTGCGAGGTCTTATTTTCAGGGGATGTCTTATCTTTCCATGCGCTGGGTCTTATTTTTGGAGGATGTCTTATTTTCGGGGAAACCCGGTACTAGGTGTGTGGCTTGCAGAAGGAGGTGGGAATGCTGGGAATTTGATTTTGAAGGGCCAAATGAAACTAAAAATCAAACACTTTAGGAACCTGGAGGAAAGGGAGCCCACTTCTGTCTGGGGTTTTGAGAGAAGGGAGATATTTTATTTTTAGATGATAGAGAAGAATATGGGATGAGCTGGATCTCTTGTTTTCTAAACCTGTGCAAAAAGATCCCAACCTATGCCTTTGTGAGTTTCCTCATACTGCCCAGTTAGAAGGAATCAGGATTATTCAAGTGGGGCCCAGGCATCTCTTTTTATTTATTATTTTTAAATTTATTATTATTTTTTGTTAATCCTCACTCGAGGATATTTTTCCATGAGTTTTAGGGAGACAGGAAGAGAGAGGGAGGGTAAGACAGAGAAACATTGATGTGAGAGAAACACATCGATTGGTTGCTTCCTGCACGAGTCCTTGACCAGGGCCAGGGAGGAGCCTGTAACCAAGATACGAGCCCTTGACTGGAATTGAACCTAGGACCCTTTGGTCTGCAGGCCAACGCTCTATTCACTGAGCCAAACTGGCTAGGGCAGGCATCTCTTTTTAAAAGTTATTCTGGTGATTCTGTTTATCAATGAGGTTTGGAATCACCTTCCTGAATGGAGGGAATAATTTGAGAAACGTAGAAGTCAGCGAGTATGTTTGAAGAAGAGATGTAATCCAATCATTGATTTTGGCTCAAGTTGAGTGCACCTTTGGGAATTCCGGGAGAGAGAAGGCCATAAAAGTGGCTGGATCTGGGTTCTTCAGAGGTTTAGCTGCCAGGCCTGGGCTTGTGGACTTTATCTAGTAGATAATGGGCAGGCGTGGAAGAGTTTTGTGTAGCCAAAGAACATGTTCTCTTGGGGAAGGGCAGGAGAGACTGCAGGGTGGTAAGTGTCAAGAGACCCCTTATCAGTATCTCATTTGGAGTGTCTGAATAGCTAAGGTTGCAATGGTGGGACTGGAAAGGAAGGGGACAGAATGGTAGGCTTTCCAGAGGAAAAACAGGATGGATTTGTGACTGATTGTTGGTAGATTTGTGACTGTATGGTGGAAAGAAAGGACCAATGCTAGATCTTACTGTCTTATTAACGAAGCACAAAGTATTAGGTAGAGGGTTGTGGTGAATGCAGGGGACGTTCTTGGGATCCCTTTGTTTTCTCTCTAACCATGTATCCAGTTCCTTGGTGGCTGAGTCAAGGTGGGGGGGCTGGTGGGGGCAAATCTCCATCATCAGAAGTGGCCATGGGAGTTGATAGTGCTCTTTGGGGTTGAGGCTTTAGAGAAGTCCAGAACGCTGCTGTGGTTTTTGAGACAGGTTCATGGTGAAGCTGGCTGAAGAGACCGACGGGATCATTGTCTCTAACGACCAGTTCCGGGACCTGGCGGAGGAGTCTGAGAAGTGGATGGCAATCATTAGAGAGCGGTGAGGGGGCATCCCCTGAGAAAAGGGCTCCGACTCAGACCTTTCTCTAAAACCAGTTCTTCTCTGCCACCGGGTGAGGACCCATGGAAGGGACTTGACACGGGCTTGGAGGATAATAGCTGACAGCTTCTGGTGGAGTTGGTCTCAGCTGTTTGGGAGGTGAACAGGGGCCCCTCTGTGACCATTGCATTTCTGTTCCCATCCAGCCTGCTGCCCTTCACTTTCGTGGGAAACCTCTTCATGGTCCCTGATGACCCATTGGGGCGAAATGGCCCCATGCTGGATGAGTTCTTGAAGAAGCCAGTCAGGTAACGCTTCAGACTCTCATAGGCAGCCTGGCCTTGGTCCTGGCCCCCTTTGTGCAGGGGCCTTGCAGGCCTGCAGGCTTGGAGGAAGTGTGACCTCAGTGTGGACCAGCTTAATTCCTCAGTGATTTAGGTTGCCTTTAACTGCCTCCCTGGAAGTCCTGACATAGATTCTGCAGGCTGGGAGGGAAGCTGCTGCTTCCTGTTTTCTCTAGTTAGTGTTTGCCGGAGTTATTTGGATCATGGTTGATTTTACTTATGGCCACTTATATGCAGCTCGCCCTCTGCTGGACCATTAAGTAAGTGATTAATTTATTAGGCTAGAACTAGATTGTGGTGATGGCAAGTTCCTGGTTTCAAAGGAACTGTCTCCCTTTCAGAAGTGGGTTGATACTGCCACTCAGTGGTCAGCTTAGGGAACTTCAGAGCCAGGAATAGGCAGGGCAGTTAACAGCAGTGGAGTGCTGGGAGGCCCACTGAGCCTCTAACTTCTCTCCAGAGTGCACATCAGCTCTTCTATTCCCTCTGCTTCTTCCTAGGGCACAGGAATCTTCTAAGACTCAGCATCCTTCCAGGGGCTTCACAGAACACGGTAGTCAGCAGCAGGGAAGAGAAGAGGAGGAAAAGGGCAGTGGTGGCATTCGGAAGACCCGGGAGACTGAGAGGCTTCGGCGCCAGCTGCTGGAGGTGTTTTGGGGCCAGGATCACAAGGTGGACTTCATCCTGCAGCGGGAGCCTTACTGCCGTGACATCAACCAGCTCTCTGAGGCCCTGCTCAGTCTCAACTTTTGAGCCTCACCTGCCCTAGTGGCTGCCATCACATCAGCTCCAGCCTTGCCTAGCTTAGTCCCTTCTGTGATGCTCAGATCCTGCCCCAGACCCACTCTGAATTGGTGCGCTGGGTGAGGGAAGCACTGAGGAAGAGCCTTCGTGAGTGGGGAATGCTCTTGCCTGGGGCACTTTGGGGACATAACGCGACCTGATCTCTTGAGTCAGGACCTCAACCAGCTCTCAAGGGGTTCTGGTCAGCCGTAATTCCTCAACCTTGCCTTAGCACGGGGTTTTTGTAGGGAGTGCAGGCTGCTGGAAAAGCTAAGTCCTGGAGATTGGGACTGCCAGTTCCTCCTCAAAGCTGAGTTGGGGACGGAGGCTGGGGTGGGTGGGAGGGGAATCAAGATAGGTGCCAAGGAAGCAAGCCTTTCCTACCCCTGGCTGCTGCTCAGGATAGCCACAGGATGCTCCCCAGGCCTGGCAGAACTTGGAACCTTGAAAAGGGAATAAGGGGCCCTGGAATGGCTGGGGTTGGGGTCACAGCGGGGCAGCAGGGAGCTAGTGGGGAAAGTAGATGAAGACTTGGCTTCTGGTCTCAGCTGTGCCTGTTTGTGACCTTGATTGAGCTACTTGCCCTTGACTTCTGCCTATAAATCAGATGTAAAAATGCCTGTTGGGAGAAATGAGAACATGGAGCCAGGGCTATTTGGAGGAAAAGTACATGGACCAAGTCTCAGGTGTGTCTGTCTGTGGCTGCACAGGCTTCCAAACCAAAACCTCACGTTCAGAGAACCGAGTGTCCTCTGTCCCCAGGGCGTGTACCCTAGATTTTAACATTGCACCCTCATTTTGTGCCCTATAATGGCTGCGTCCCTTTGGGCAACCCCCAAATCCACATTTACAAAACAGTTAGTTAGGGGTGACTGTTTGCATTACCAGAATACTCTCAGGGTTCCTCTAAATGGCAGCTTTCCTGTTGCATTCAAGTGTTTACAGATTAACGAATGTGTCAGAAAGTCCCCTGTTCATTGCACTTGTGGTGTTGCGCATTCACCAAACCAATGGAAGCCATGCTCTGCTATGACAATGTTAATGTGATCTGACCTTAGCATTTTCCCTACAAAACACATATGTTGCATAAACGAGGCCCACTTCTGCCCACTTTTTGTGTATGTGTGTATGTGGGGAGAGGGAGGGTTATAGAGATTGTAACTAGATAAATTAATCTGGAAAATGAAAACCAAACAATTAAAATAGGGAGATTCAGATAAACTGCTGTCTCATCAAAACATCCTCTCTGCTTGAAGTCCTCTAGTGCCAAAAAACTACCTCCAAGGTAGCACATTACCTTGTGGACAGTTTATTGCAGCCCCCAATATACTCTTCTGTACTTCTGCCTTTGAGGCTGGTCATTCCCTCAGGAATAATAAGAGAGCCAGCCAACTTCCTAAGAGTCCAAGACCAGAAAAAGAAGAGGGACAGGCGCCACAGGGTTCTGTGTTTGGGCCCTACAGCAAGTCCCTGGACATGATCCTGTCAGGCTCTGGCTTGTTCTCTGAGCAGCATGGGGAGTTGGAGACTGTTACCCAGTTCTTCATTCTAGTGGGAGCTGAGTGATGATGGAGAGGGACTCTGGGTCCTAGTGTCTTTGCCCCTCCTCCCTGTTGGTGATGTATATCTCTAGACCTTACTGACTTGGGCTGGGAACAGATGTGTAGGAAAAAGGCTAGCCAGGGAGCTGACAGTGACTCAAAGTCTCCTTGGAAGAAAGATTGGCTAACATGGCACAGCTCAGTGGCCCGAGGAATCACTGGTCATGTAGATATCAGGGCAGGTAAAATGGGAGAGGGTCCTAAATAAATATTTGGGATACCTCCTTTCCCCCAACAGGGTTGTTAGTTTTTGGCATATTCCTTGCCCCTTTCACTTTCAGTGATGGATGTACAATAGGCCAAAGGCATCTTCTGACCTGCCTGGGACTCTGATAAGCCTGTCCTAAGCTTCCTAGAGGGGTTACTCCTACAGCTTGATGAACTTGGACCAGTATGCGATTGGTTTATTAATTTACTGCCACTCAGTGGACAGATTGAAGGCTGTCCTAGACTTGGGGCCCTATGCTTTGCTGGCATCCTAACGGTACCATGTGAAGAAGCAAGCAAGATGACCACAGAACCCATTGGAAATGGGTCACTTGTCTTATAGTCTCTACTTTTATCATAATCTCATGCTCCCAATTTGTTGCCAACTCTTGGCAATGGAGGGAACAAAAAGAAAGATGTTGCTCATCGCCTCTTTTAAAACCCCACATAGAGGAAAGAGTAATCTAGGGTGACGTTCCTTAAAATACATTCAAGCAGAACCTAGGCCAAAGAGTTGAGCCAAAGTTAATGAGATTCTTTATCTTTATTGCCTAAATTGTAGAGCATTCATTACATAGCAAAAGAGAAATGGGGCAGGAATGAGACATACAGGGAAACTAAACTTGGAAATTCTTTTACAAGGAGTTGAAGAGGTTAAGGTCCCAATTAGGTAAAATTGCAATCTCAAAACAGTGGGCAGTCAGTTAAAAGTGCAGCAACAGAAGAATGAGAAAGAAAAAGGAAGAGGTTGTAGGTCTCAGGTAGAGGAGTACCTGACCTATTCACAGTCTCTAACCGGGAAGCCTCTATCGAGGCCGTAGGCCCTACCATGAACCTCCCCACTTAGGCTACGATTTCCTTCAAGGCAGCCCCTAGCTCTGGGAAGGAATACTGGTAGCCAGTGGCCAGTGTCCGCCGTGGGATCACCTTCTGGCCCTCCAGCAGCATGATGGCACGTTCTTGCCCAAAAACGGCTTGCACAACAATGCTAGGGAGAGGGATAAAGGCTGGGCGGCCTAGGGCTGTGCCTAAGGCCTGTGCAAACTCAGCGTTCGTAGTGGTAGAGGCTGGAGCCACTCCATTCAGGATGCCCTGCACGTGGCTTGCTTCAAGGGCATGGGCCAGGATTCCTGCCAGGTCCTTAACGTGAATCCAGGGGAAGAACTGCTGGCCAGAGCCGATGGGGCCCCCCAGGCCCAGGCGGAAGGGCAACAGCATGTGACCGATGGCACCGCCTCCACGGCCCAACACAACCCCTAGAGCAGGCAAGAAGGATGGTATAGGGAGGCTCCTCAGCCTCCAGGCAGCCCACTGTTTCTCCCCATTTCCTTTTTCTCTTATCCCTTGCTGCCTGAGCCCTGTAGTAGTCCAAGAATATGGCTCTCTTTGGGACTTCCCATCCTCCCATCTGCAATTGGGCCAGGAGTAGTGGCATCCTCACTCAGTAAGCTCAGCTCCTCTTATTCCCCCAACACCTCCCATTTCCCCCAGCCCAGAGAGGACATTGCAACCTTGCCTGACATGCAGACCCCTTGTTCTCACCAGAGCGTACCACCACCTGGCGTGTAGAATCTCCAGGAAGTCTAGCTGCAGCTTCCCACTTGGTTACGAGGTTGGAGAAAAAGTCAAAATCTCCTCCTGGACTGTCCTCATCATACTCAGCAGTCAGGCTGGGCTGGTAGTAACCTGCCGGTAGAACAGCGCTGGTTTGCTCTGGCTGTCTTTTGTCCTGCCTGGTCCTTTGTCATGAAGGCCCCCCTTGGCCGTTGGATATCCCCTGGGACAGAGCCGTGGCTATTTCCCCCTTGAGCTTCTTCATTAGCTGATTTGTTACTGCCTGGATTAATTTATCTTTAGCTGCACGGCTAAGCTGAGACGTTGCTAGGGTGTAGTGGTTAAGAATAAAGATGTGGGGGCCAGGCTGAGTTTTAATCTCAGTTCTACCATTTATTAACTATGACTTTAGGCAAATTACATAACTTCTCTGTGCAGAATATCTGCATCTTTAAAATGGAATAATAGCTGAAACCGGTTTGGCTCAGTGGTAGAGCGTCGGTCTGCGGAGTGAAAGGTCTCAGGTTTGATTCCGGTCAAGGGCATGTACATTGGTTGTGGGCACATCTCTGGTAGGGGGTGTGCAAGAGGCAGCTGGTCGATGTTTCTCTATCATTGACATTTCTAACTCTCCCTCTCCCTTCCTCTCTGTAAAAAATCAATAAAATATATTAAAAAAAAAAAAAAGGAATAATAGGCCTAGCCAGTTTAGCTCACTGGATAGTGTCAGCGTGGGTCCCGGATACGATTCCAGACAAGGGCATATGCCCAGGTTGTGGGCTCAATCCCCATTAGGGGGCATGCAGGAGGCAGTCGATCAATGATTCTTATCATTGATGTTTCTATTTCTCCCTCTCTGAAATCAATAAAAATATATTAAAAATGAAATAATAGTACCTACCTCAGAGTTCTTGTGAGGATTAAATGCCATAATATGTGTAAAACATTTAGTGACTGGTGTATATTTATTTGCAATTATTTTGGCCCCAAAGGTGAAACACAAGAATCATAAATGCTGCTCCTACAGATCTGTGCTGTGAGAAGAAAGGGACTTGGGAGCAGTACAACTCCACTCTCTTTTTGAGGGTGTTTCTTAGAGAAAGTACACAAAGGCCAGGAGAAACATGCATGGAACAAGGGCCTCGGAATACCTCCAGGCATGTATAGCTAGCAGGGCCTGAGCTAACCCCTCACTGTGGACTCTTTCCCTGGCTCACGAAAGGGGTTGGTGATTCAGGGCATACCTACACCTGTGACTAAGATCCAGGTTTGGGGGGGTTGTGGGGCCTTGGTGATGGCTTTAGCCAGCAAGTCAGTGGTCTCCAAGCGGCTGCTGAGAACCTCTTTTTGGAAAGCTTCATTCCACCTGCAGAAGAAACAAGGGAAATAAGCCACTGAACGCATACATGCACATATCCCTTTCTCCTTCTCCCTGAGGCATGTCTGTACCCTTATCTAGTAAAACCCTGCAGTGTGGCTTAGAGGAATTGTCTGTCTCTAATGAGTTGTGAGGACTAAAGTCAACTGGCTGAGTGGGTAGAAGTGAGGGCGTGTTTGAAGGAGGGGGGCAGGATGAGTAATCCGGGATCAGGCAGCTCCATTCTTCACATCTCAGCGTCGGCCCTCTCCACCTCCTGCTCTGAAGGATGTCAGTCTTGGGGCCCAGCGCTGACTGACCTTCGGAGAGGGTTGAGGATGTTCTCTCCAGCCAGGTTGATTGCAGCATCGCAGGGGGGCAGCCCCGACGCAGCGAGCTCATCCTGTCAGAGAAAGCGCACGGTGCCCGCCTCGCCCAGCACCGCCCAAAGGGGCCACCCCTCCTCCCCGCCCCCAGGTTCCCCGGAGTGGACATACCCACGTGATCCGACCCGGGCCGGGCTTCCGGGAGACGAGAGTCACTTCATGACCTCTGGCTTTCAGCAGTTGCCTCAGGGCTGTCCCAATGAAGCCCGTCCCGCCACCTCATCAGAAAATACGAGGTGTTTATTCTCAGGGGGTGCCTTCGGTTCCCGCATGTGGCCCGCCCCCCCCGCCCCCCGCCTTTCCGGTGCCAGGCCATTTGATCCCCGCCTCCTCCCCTCTTCCTCGGCCCCGTCTCTGCGGCACACAGGTGACCCAGGTCACAGGGATTAGGGAGATTCGGCTTCTGCGGTTCGGAGGCCAAGGCCACGTGGCCGCTGCACGAGTCAGTGCCCTCCGTCGGGGTCCACCTACTCCCCAACTCTGGCTCAATCCTCTTTCCATAAACCCGCCCCCCACTTTCCCTCTCTGCCCTCCCTCACCCACGAGCACCCGCATAGCCACCAGGACCTAAGGCGCCTGCGCAGCATCTAGAAGGGGGCGGGGTGGGAAGGGGCGGGCACGCGCAGGCGTCTTCCGGGACGTGCGCTCCCATTGGAGCGTGGGCAGGACTGGGCGTGGCCCTGCTCCGTGACCCGGAAGAACTCCTACCAAAGGCGGTACCTCGCGCGTTTCATTGCGAGGCGGGGCCCGGGTTGAGTGTGTGTGATTGTGTGGGGCAGTCGTGGTAGGGACGGGGAGTCGAGGGAGGGGATGGAGGAGTAAGTGGCGGAATAGACCCTGGGGCCGGGAAAGAAGGGGAGGAGGCGGAAAAACACGCTTGATCCCAAACCCGCAGCTGCTCGAACCTTTTAGATTCTGGAGGTACATTCAGTTTGGTGGGTCAAGACTCCAAAAGAATCCGTCCACTTTTACAGTGCATTTCTTTTTACGCGGTCTTTTATTTTTCCTTTGTTCCAGCCCCTTCCTGTCGGCGTTTAGGCATTCTAAAGTTTCCCCCGTCTTTAACCCCTCTCCAGCCCTCTGTCCCTCTCCTAATGCCTCTGTCTTCGCCTTCATTGGCAGACGTTTCAAATGCGTGATGTCCGTTTTCTGCTTCCCAGTTCTGGCTCTGACTATCACTCATTGCCTCTCTCGCCAAGACTGCCAGTTTCTCCTGTGTCACTAAAACGAATGTCTCGTTTCCCAGTCATTTTTCTTGATTTCTGTTTCACTGGACACTTGCTGACTCTTCCCTCCCTTTGGAAATGTTCATCCCTGAGTCTGAGTGAAAGCCACACTCTTTCCTGGGGCTTTCTCCTGGCTCTTTTCAGTCTCAGTTGCTTGTTTCGCCTCCTCTAAGGTTTTAAAATGTTGGTATTCCTCAAAGCTAGGTCCTAGGATCCTCCTCTTCCCACTGTGCCCTTTCCCACAAACATCTGTGTGGGAGAATTTCAAAGACTTGTCAAATGTCCCATGCAGTTGAATCTCTCCTCTGAGTTCCTGTTTCCTATAAAAACTCCCCACTAGACAATCTGTTCTTGATTGTCTGAAACCCTGTTGATTTTACTTACTAAATATTGCCCATCTATTTCTCTTTGCCACCACTACTCTCCTTCAAGTTATCTAAACCTTTGTCTAAATTTCTGCAATAGTTTCCTAATAGGTTTTCCTGCTCCTGCTTGTTTCTCCTTTCCAAATTGGCTTATACATTGCAAGCTGAATTATCTTTTAAGATCACGTGGAAGGAACACAAAGGTGGTATATATATATATCTATCTCCTAAAAAACAAAAAAACACCCCAACCATCACCACCACCACCACCAACAAAAACCAAACAAAACTTCAATTGCAAAGTTCCTGGATATGCTGAATAAAAGTTGACATGTCCCCATTTAAATAGATGGCTGAGCTAACTAGAAAATAAAGGAAATTATCAGAGACCAAAAACAAAGTGTGCCTTGGTACTGAGGCTACTTTATGGTTGTCAATTTCAGTAACTCAAAGGCTTGGGTGACAGGAGATGATGATTGGGAACAAAGCAAGATTAGGACTGAGAGCCCTAGATAAAGTTCTTGGTGGGCTATGTCCTCATGGAAAGTTAGCTTTAAAAGCCCACTTAGTATAAAAGAATATGATAAACTTGCTTCTGTAGGTCTGGCTCTTGGGTAGGATTACTTGTAAAAAGATTTACTCAGACTCATAGATAGCAGGCAGACTAACTTTGGCGGTGGTGGTGGAGGTATTATGGAGGTGGAGGGATTCAGCAAAAGAGAAAAGAAAAACTCATGGACATGGACAAGGGATAAATGATAATGGGAAAAATTAAATTTTAAAAATTGGCCTTTTTTGAGAAGTTGTTTTTATTGTCCTGCCCTCATACAGTTTTGGAGTTTGAACTCATTGTTACTTGTTTGGTATAGAAAGCCCTAAGCCAAGAGTAGGTTTCACAGGTTCTTAATAGATAAAATCTTGCCAAGCATGAGCACACAATACAAAATTACAAAACAAAGGGAAAGAAATCACTTGGAGGAAGAGTCAGCAGAAACAACACAGCAGAGTTAGACCAAACAGGATTTTAGATATTAGAATATCTAAAATGTTTAAAAGAGGAGACATTAAAAACATGTGAAAGAGACAAGATGCTATAAAAAAAATTCAGCAGAATTGATAACCAATTTAAATTCCTAAAAAATTAAAAACATAATGATTGAAATGTAAAAAATCATTGACTGAGTTTAAGAAGCAGGGAATAGATTTATCATTAGTTAAGGGAAAATTAATTAGGTATGAAAAAATTACACATAATGCAGCACAGAGAGGCAAAGAGGTAGAAAATATGAAAAAAAAAAAAAAAAGTAAGACACAAGATAAAGTGAGAGATTCTGACTTTCTCTCTCTTTTTTTGGCATTCCAGAAGAGAGGAGATAGAGAAGGGGATAGAGAAAATCTTTAAAGAAATAATAGCTGATTAAATACCCTAAGTAATGAAAGATAAGGATACTCAGATTCAGTAAACAAAATAAATCTCAAGTTGGATAAATAAAAAAATTTATGCCTAGTCATCCTTAATAATAAAAACTTAACAGGCTAGTTAGTCCTCCATCCTTCCAAACTAGGCTGGGGCTGTAAAGGAAGCCTGGGTCCTGAGTGACTGCCAGCAGAGGAGGGAAGACCGGGTCCCCAGTGCCAGAGGGAAGCTAGTGCCGGCACCCAGGGGAAGGAAGGCCTACTTTTGCACAAATTTTGTGCATTGGGCCTCTAGTCTAGATATATAAAAGGCTAATATGTTAGGTGTCCCTCTGCAGGTCTGACCAGTTGCTATGATGTGCACTGAACACTAGGACACAGATACTCAATGCAGGAGCTGCCATGACATGCACTGGCCATTTACAGAGAAATGGCAGTGTGGACCTGGTGCCAAAAAAGGAACACTTGGCTTTTCGCAAGTGGACACAGGCCCTGCCATCACCCCAGAGCGACAGCCCACCAAATTGTAGCCAATACTGTCATGGTGCAAAATGTGGCCCACAGCCTGGCCCAGTAATGTTGTGGGTGCTGGCTTCCTCTCCTTAGTGACAACTAGCAGTTTCTTCAGCCCAGGAACATGACTTGCTTTATAGCCAGGTGGAAACATTTCACACTTTAACCAAATGTCTGTGAAGTGTTTTACTGTGCCACATCTCATTCGATCCTCACAGAAGTCCTGGAGTAGGTAGATAGGAGATTCAGAATCCTATTTTCTTTTCATTAGCCGGTAAAACAGATAGTTAGAAAGCTTAGAAACTTGACCCAACTGAAAAGAAGTAAGAAATGGTGGATCTTGAAAATGACTTCAGGTTTTCTCACTGCACAGAATATAGTCAAACACTGATGCAGTTAAATATTTTACCCTTTGTTTTCCCTACATGAGCTACAATAATAACTTGCTTTGTATTGATATTTATTGCTGTGTTGCTGAGAAGAGAAGTTGGGGTGCTTCACAGGGCTGGAAAACGTTTAAATAAGGAAGCAGATCTAATTAATCAAGTTAATTCTATACTAGTGTATATAAAAGGCTAAGTTAACTTGTACATGCACGATACATAAAAAGCTCTCACTGGCACAAATCACACATGTGTGTTTCCATTTGTCCTGCATTTGGTTGACACTTCTATTATAGAGAAAGGGCAAATAGCAATATTAAAATATTTCTTCTGATTAATTTTCTTTCAATGTGCATGAATTTGTGCACCAGGTCACTAGTTTCATAATAAAAAATATGTAGTAGATTTAAAACTCATAGTTGTATCTCAGACATACATAAATATAACTATTTTTTATAATTGAACGTAAGTTACTCATGAACATTTCTCCTTACTAGTGGAATAAACTTAAACTCACCCAACCCAAGTAACGTTATAATTTCTAATTTAAAATTTCTCAGCTCAGTTTCTCTGAGTAAATTTTTAGTCTTTTAGAGTGCTATATCCCTCTTTCCCTGTCCTTCTCTCGGCTTGTTCCCTGGGTGTAGGAGGCACTTTGGTCCAGGCACTGTTGTCTAGTCCACAATGCCTGCTCAGAAGAATCTCATCTCACTGGGCCTTTAGATGTTGCCTGCTGACATCTAAGGTACAGCTAGTTAGGTCAGCTTTGGGTGTGCTTTTGATACTGATACCTATGCTTCTGAATATCATACCTAATGCTTTTTTTTTTTAATTTTAAAATCAATCTTTATTGTTCATATTATTACAAAGGTTCCTCATTTCTTCCCCCTTCCACCAGGTTCCCACCCCACCCTCCGCCCCTTCCCCACCCCCCATTGTCCTCATCCATAGGTGCACAGTTTATGTTCAGTCTCTTCCTCCCTCCCTTCCCCTCCCCCCACAGAACAGTCAGTCCATTCCCCTCCCATATCACCAACTCTACTACAATGAACCGCTATTATTGTTCATCAGGTTTTTCAATCTCCTTTTGTTGTTGTTGTTTTTTTGTTTTGTTTTGTTTTTTAATTAATAAACTTTTACACTTCTAAGAATAAATTTTAAAATCTAATAATTTTAAACCTTGTTTTTTTTTCTGCCCTGGGAATTGAGAGCAAACTTGTTTACATGTAAACTTGCCCTTAGGCTATCAAAAGGTGTAGCCATTCAAGTGTAAATGGACACATTGTTTAAACATAGCTGCTGGTTGGAATTGGATTACCTGTTCTGGGTGGGAAAGGCTTGTCATTCCCTTTCTCCATTAAAATTAAGGTGTTAGTTTTAAAACCTCTTTTTGGCAAGAGACCTTAAACTTTCAGAACTTTAAATTTTTCAGATAATAAATCAGTTACTTAGCATTTTCTCAAATCAATAATACCTCCACATGCCCAAGGACACACTTCTCACAAAATACATTTCCCAATAGATCAACCAACCTCATCCAGGCCCCACACAAGGCACTCACAGATCAACACCCCAGCGCTATACTGACTCAACACATCCAGATCTAAGCCTTCCTCATTTGATTCAGCAGACCCTCAAGTTCCCCCAAAAGT